ACCATCTCTTCCCCCTTACCAAAGGAGGGACTCGTTCCCCTTCCAAAGGGGGGAAAAGAAAGCCAGGATGGTCTGGAAGGTCCATATCCACGTACAGGAAAACCAACATAGCGCAGGAGAACAATGCCCACTTACAAGAAAGCCAGAGAAGGGGCCCACCCATGTACAGTAGGGTCTGGGAGGTCTATCCCCGTACAGGACCGGGGGGCAGGTGGGTGAAATGATACTTGAGTACCACCTGCATCCGCGGGCCCGCCACCGCCCTCCACCAGCGTTGCCACCTGCGGCGCATACCTCACGTCAATTGTTACGCGGATTATCTTGAAGTATATTACTAGACCCGTCATATATATACGGCCCGTGATCTTACACCAACGAAGAGCCCGGGGACACATCCATAGCTGGAGCCAGAGGTGGACAGACGTATTCTTCCTCCCGTTTGCAAGACAGTGGCGACGTTGACAGAATAATGGCGCATACACACGCGACCTGTCAGGGCTGCATTGATTTATTTGATTGATGGGAAGGGTATTGACCGTATTTTGAACAGAGCGGCGGCGCGCGCAGGCGCTAAATAACAAGGTTGCGGGAGCTCAGTAGCGCCTACCTTGTTACTAAGATAATCGCTCATGCGGTAGCTTTTGGAGGAGAAAAAACGCGCCGGTTTGGCCTCGGTGCTGCTGCTGACGAGGCTGGGAAAACACGCCCCTGTAAATGTCTTCAGAGAATCGTCTGAGACACCGACTGTCATCTGGGGGGCCTCGTCAGCCCCTTCGTGCTTAGCCACCACCTCACACACACACACACACACACACACGACACACACACGACACACACCACACACACCACACACACCACACACACCACACACACACACGCACACACGCAAGGTTACGAGGAAAGCAGTTGGAGGGCGAAGACCTCAAATACAGCACAGTCTGAAGGGAAGGCCACTTGCAACTTGTGTAAAAAGAGAAAGACTTAGGCGTGGACCTGACTGGAGATCCACCGCCAGAGGCACACGCCAGCAGAATAACGAGGATTGCACAGTCTACAGGCCGGTAGCGTCCGTGGGTTGCACAGTCTACAGGCCGGTAGCGTCCGTGGGTTGCACAGTCTACAGGTCGGCAGCGTCCGTGGGTTGCACAGTCTACAGGTCGGCAGCGTCCGTGGGTTGCACAGTCTACAGGTCGGCAGCGTCCGTGGGTTGCACAGTCTACAGGCCGGCAGCGTCCGTGGGTTGCACAGTCTACAGGCCGGCAGCGTCCGTGGGTTGCACAGTCTACAGGCCGGCAGCGTCCGTGGGTTGCACAGTCTACAGGCCGGCAGCGTCCGTGGGTTGCACAGTCTACAGGTCGGCAGCGTCCGTGGGTTGCACAGTCCACGGACTGTGCAACCTGCGTCCGGTTATCCTTCAGCAACTTGGACAAAAATGCCTTCCGAGCGCGGTATACCTCCATTGTGAGACCTGTTATCGAGTATGCTGCTCCGAGATCGAACCGAAAGAACAAAACAAAAGTAGAACAAGTTAAAAAAAAATGCAACAAGCCTCGTTCTCGAGTTAAGGAAACTGAGCTATGATGAAAGACTGAGGGGAACTGGACTTCACTACACTGGAGGAAAGAAGGAATAGGGGAGACATGATGTAGACGTACAAGATACTAAAGGGTATTGATAAATATAGAAGCATCGTTCAAATTAAGGAACCACAGAACGGGAGAACACAATTGGACACTTGAAACACAGATAAGTCAAGAGTTGTCAGAAATCCTTTTTTCAATCTCAGAGTGGTAAATAAGTACTCAACGAGTTGTACACACCCGCCCGCACACGCGCACACACCCGCACACACCCGCACGCACACAGTGACTACGGGAATTAAACCCTCACGTCGCTGGAAAACAGAAGTTAGAGGGGACATGATCACCACATACAAGATTTTCAAAGGAATTGATAGGGTAGATAAAGACAGGCTATTTAACACAAGGGGCACATGTACTAGGGAACACAGGTGGAAATTGAGTGCCCAAATGAGCCACAGAGATATTAGAAAGAACTTTTTTTTAGTGTCAAGAGTAGTTGACAAATGGAATGCATTAGAAAGTGATGTGGTGGAGGCAGACTCCATACACAGTTTCAAGTGTAGATATGATAGAGCCCAATAGGTTCAGGAACCTGTACACCAGTTGATTGACAGTTGAGAGGCGGGACCAAAGAGCCAGAGCTCAACTCCCGCAAGCACAACTAGGCGAGTACACGGTTGTCTAATGCAATGTGTGTAAACAAACATAAGGTAAAATTAGGTAAAATAAACACACTTGCCTACTTGTGCCTGCAAGACTGAGCGTCAACACTTATAATTCACTATAACATCTTGACTTGAACATCTGGAGATCCTCCAGTCCAATAGTACCCGAACTGAATCGATCTATATGTTGGCATTAAAATTACCTTTCACGACAGTTTGCTTAAACGTGAGCAAACCATTCATCAGTATACAGTACAATCACACTCGGTACCTACACAAGGTATTGTGGGGGGTGGCGGTGGAGTGGGGTGTGAGGGGCGGGGTGGGGAGTGGAACAGACAATTCAGCCCGTCATCTAGAGGTTTGACAACGTCAAGAAAACCGTATATTTAAAGTGTCCTCTCCTAACCTACTAGAGGACCCAAAAACCATACACAATAGCAGTGGGTGACACTGGAAAATCAGTGTTGAGCTGACGTCATAGCGACGGGATCGTGGAAAGAGAGGTGTTAACTTTTAATAATATTTCCTAAGTCTGAAAGAAAGCTTTAATGGGTTGTTATCTACGTTAATCAGCTAATCGGGTATGGTCGTAATCACTCAATAATTTCCGACGGCTGTCACGACTACCGCAGGCAGCCCAGCTCCGGGAACACAGTCAATGGTATAATATACACATGCATATCTACACCAATAACAAAGCCATGAACTCGAGGCGGAACTTGCCCACTCGGAGTTGACGTCTCTCTCCCTCACGCTAAGCTAACACTTCAAGTACCGGAGGACCAGGTAAGTGTTGTCGTCCACATGGCCACACACACATGGTTCACTTCGGAAGGTCTTTATATACATACGAGCTGCCTCCTGCGGGACATTAATAGGCCTATTTGAACACATCAAATACAGTGTCACGTAATACGGAGTTCTTTCAGGCGCCTCAGATGCTAACTCGTTCTCACACTAGGTTGTTTATCACTAGACACATTCATCAATTTTAACATACTGCGTATTAAAAATTGGTTTGCTCTCATATATAAATTAATATTCTTATACATATAAATTGTACGTATAGTTTGGCGTAGGTTAGGTTAGGTGTTTAGGTTCTGTTGGTAATAATTTGTATTTGAAGTACGTGGGTGAAGCATTTATAGAATTGTGGGTCGAACAGAGAACGTGAGCGAAGCACTTGTTCCGGAAGTGTTCGGACGTCATCAGTTGTGAGTCGTGTGTAAACCGTTTTTCATTCATAAACAGGGGATTCGGCGGCTGGATTAAAGAGCTTTGATCTTTGTATACGAGAACGGGTTGCAGATGCTCACATGACCACAATAACCACACAGTAGCCAGGTCCGGGGTCGAGCGTGAGGCGGCGCCAGGAACACATAAACATTTTAACTTTTGTCGAACAGTATCAATATCTTCGTGTGTTCGAATCGCACTTCCTTAAGCAACCAATCCTCACACAAAGTCCATTCCATCCAATGGTCGACCCCAAAGACGCATTCATCAATTTTAACATGTTGTTCATTCAAAATATAATTTTTCTCAAATATAGGTTAATTAATTTTTTGTATTAATTTTGCCTTGAGGGGCGAGTTTATTGGGCAGCGTCATTCATGCTGTGAGTGAACACCGTCATAGCAGCATGTACAACACTCCCCAATAGGAAGAAAACCCGCTGGGCTGCTCATCCTGTCACTTGCACCCAGATACAGCTGGGACTTGCTTAACTGCCTCAAGTGAACAGTTTCTCAAACAAGAAGATTAACATTCGTCAACCCTTAAAATCTTACGTTATCTTGCGGGTGCAAAATGGGGAAATCTTTTAAGAACAGTATCAATATTTGACAAATAGCATTTTCCTAACTCAAACAGTGTGGGGTTTATTATTCTACACATATTTCTAGTGTCCCTCAGGTGTTCTCAGTCTCGTAGATAGTGGTCAAGGCGGTGTCCGTCACTCTCACCGCAGATTCTGCAATTCCGTTCCTCAACTGTTGTTTCCATTCCAAATCTCCATAGATATTTGTATCCAAGAAGGATTCTCGCTCTGCTGATTCTCTCCCTCGTCCACCTCCTCTTCGTCGATAATGATTGGGAATGCGAATTGCAACCATGTTGTGCCAGCGTACAGATTCACTGATTTGTTCTTCTATCCCCTTTTCCTCAGTAACCTTGTCACGGTAATATTGCCTGATGATACCTCTAATTTGTAGCAGAGTCTTGGGTATGAAGTATTCAATATGATCTCCTTCAACGTCTTCAGCGGCCAGCACATCGGGTCGTCCATTTCCACATATTCCAACATGAGAGAGAATCCACAGAAATTTGACGACACTTCCTAATATATATTAGCATATTGTGCATATTTAGGCATTGGTTAGGTTAGGTGTTTAGGTTCTGTTGGCGATTATTTGAATTTGTAGTACGTGGGTGAAGCATTTACAGTGTTGTAGTTCGAACAAAATCATCAGCGAAGCACTTGTTCGGCAAGTGTTCGGACGTCATCAGTTGTGAGTCGTGTGTATAAACCGTTTTTCACTCATAAACAGCTGGGGGTTTGGCGGGTGCATGGAATGGACTTTGGCCTTTGTTTATGAGGACGGGCTGCCTGAAGTGCAGACTCCCGTCATAAATAATGACCAACGTCATTGTTTACGACGGACATTCACTCGTTATATATAGTCATTCATTCTATATAACAATTTATATATGTATTGCGCACTAATCTGTGTTGCGTTGTTTCCCTCAGCTGTGGGCAAGATGGTGGTTGCAGCGCGCGTAGACTGTGTTGTTGCAGCGGTCACCCTGTTGCACAGCCTGCAGGTGGGCCTGGCAGCTGTGGGTGTGGGAGGACACCACGACACCTGGGTACGAAACGACTTGCCTTCCCCCTACAGGTATGTAAGAGGGAACTCCCCCCCATCAACTCAACAACCTCTCCACGTACACACACACACACACACACACACACACACACACACGGGTATATGGATGGTTGAGAAACATATCAATCACAAGGATATTTGAAAGTTTCATGTGTTGAGCTGCTGGTATATATGTGTATGTGGGTATATATATATATATATATATATATATATATATATATATATATATATATAATCGAACAAGCCTGAACGGTCTCCAGGCATATATGCAACTGAAAACTTCTGGGGGTGTGAGTTTTCAATTGCATATATGCCTGGAGACCGTTCAGGCTTGTTCGCATTTGTGATCCTCACGTGTGCCCCAAAGAATGAGGTGATATGATAAAATACCCTGCCCAAGATTACCATCAGAGTGCCGGCGGGGGGATGGGGAATTAGCCTCGGCTACCATCCTCTTTTGTCCGGTCGTGTTGGTCGAGTGGTTAAGGTGTCCTGTACGCCAGATAATGCAGAGTGCTCCTGGAAGTATGGGTTCGAGTCACTTCTGGGGTGAGTTTTCAGTTGCATATATATATATATATATATATATATATATATATATATATATATATATTATACCTCAAAAGTGGGTAAGATTGCATAAGGTAAAAGTCATTGCATTAGACAAAAAGCGGCTAGAAAGGCGGGCTCCAAGAGTTAAAGCTCGATCCTGCAGGCACAAAATTGTTTAGTGCAAATAAATGAGTTAACACACACACACACACACACACACACACACACACACACACACACACACACACACACACACACACACACTTAAGCTCAATTTGGTGATCCCTGGAAGTCTATTTATTCAAGCCATGTTCCATGTTATCTCGTTGTGTTGTCTGCTCCCTTTAAAGAGAAATGGTCTAGACTTTAAAGGTAGAATTTGCGTTAATTTTGACCTTTAAGATCTGTCCCACCATCATCTGCTGATGTCATCAACCAGCACGTGTGTGTGTGTGTGTGTGTGTGTGTGTGTGTGTGTGTGTGCTGGTGTGTGTGTGCTGGTGTAAACATTGAAGCACGTGTGGCCAACAGCTGCTGGTGTAAACATTAAAGCACATGTGGCCAACAGCTGCTGATGTAAACATTGAAGCACGTGTGGCCAACAGCTGTTGATGTAAACATTGAAGCACGTGTGGCCAACAGCTGTTGATGTAAACATTGAAGCACGCGCGCCTAACAGCTGTTGATATAAACAAACCACGCGCGTATGACCTTCAGCTGACTAAGTAAACAAAGTACTCGTGCGTGACGGTGAGAGCGCGCGAGCGCGCGTGTGTCAGCTGCTCATGTAAACAAGGGTCATTCATTTGAATTAGACGTTCCAACGTCAGCCAAAGTTACGCACGTTTAAAAAAATATGAGAAAAATAACAAATCCCGCATTGTTTGTTCAAGGAAATTATTGTTAGTGTTCTCGTTTGATGAACTGTTCACTCGGAACAGTTTAAGGGTACAAAAATGATGTACTAATTTGCCCGAAGCTAACCTAACCGATAGCCTGTACCTGCCTGTTGTAGATTCCGGGACCCTGCGGCCCGGTCTCTGACCAGGCGTCCTGGCTGCTAGTCTGATCCACCAGGCTGTTTGATGCGGCTGCTCGTAGTCAGAATAGAAAACGTAACAGCTCGTCAGTTTATCGAGCCGCTGTGATAGGGAAAGCCTTCATAGTTCATCGTATTTCAGCCGTTGGAGATCTTTACGTCAGAATTCGACGTATTATTCGAAAGGACAGGCTGATCTCTGGGAGTAAAAGAACTCTAATGAAGAACTCCAGGTACACTTCAGGTATACTCCAAGTATACTCCAGGTATACTCCTGGTATACTCTAAATATACTCCAGGTATGCTCTAGACATACTCTCGATATACTCCAGGTGGGAGCCTGACGGCTGAGTGGACAGCGCTCGGGATTCGTAATCCTAATGTTCCGGGTTCGATCCCTGGCAGAGGCGGAAACAAATGGACAGTTTCATTCACCCTGATGCATCTGTTCACCTAGCAGTAAATAAGTACCTGGGAGTTAGACAGCTGCTTCGGGCTGCTGCTTCCTGGGGATGTGTAACAAAAAGGAGGCCTGGTCGAGGACCGGGTCGCGGGGACGCTAAGCCCCGAAATTATCTCAAGATAACCAGGTATATTCCTGGTATACTCTAGATATACTCCAGGTATACTCCATGTATACTGCAGGTATACTCCTTATATACTGCAGGTATACTCCAGGTATACTCCAGTTATACAGTGGATTGAAGATTATCACATAGGAAGGGAAGACATCTTTTAAACATCCAACCCACATATCTGAAGTTAAAGAAAGCGACGATGTTTCGGTCCGTCGTGGGACCCTCCTGTGTGACGACGTTTCGGTCCGCCGTGGGACCCCCTGTGTGACGACGTTTCGGTCCATCGTGGACCATTATCACACGTAAAGTGAGTGGTGTATAAAGTCGGTATACAAAGGGGGAAGTAAGGCATTGAGGTAATTGAGGTATTGAAGTAATGGCATTAAATGAATGGCATTAAAGTAAAGACAATTGAGGCATTGAGGTACTTTATAAAACTGCTATTAACAGGTCCCCGTGCACCGCCACACTGTGTTACCGACTACTGTAGCGTGTACTGTACTATTGTTAACGTGATGTAGTAGCGTACTGCATCAAGCTACTGTACTGTGTTACAACTGCAAACTAGAAGACTATTTGGCTCTTTTCGTGAACAGCCGAGAGATGGATAGGGGGGGGGACATTTCGAGAGCTTTATGTAAGTCGTAAAGACGTAATGAGTGGGTGGGGGCGTGGGCGGGGGCGTGGGTGAGGGTGGGGTCGTGGGTGAGGGCGTGGGTGGGGGCGTGGGTGAGGGTGGGGGCGTGGGTGAGGGTGGGGTCGTGGGTGGGGGCGTGGGTCGACCATGCCTGGGCGGAGGTTGACACAGGGATCTGGATCCATGGCAGCGGTGTCATATTGTTGTTATGTCTTGTGTGTCTCTCTCTCTCTCTCTCTCTCTCTCTCTCTCTCTCTCTCTCTCTCTCTCTCTCTCTCTCTCTCTCTCTCTCTCTCTCTCTCTCTCTCTCTCTCTCTCTCTCTCTCTCTCTCTTTCTCTCTTTCTCTCTTTCTCTTTTCCCCTTGTCTCATCCGGGCCGCACAGGGCACTGTGTGGTGAGTGTGAGTGTGAGCGTGAGTGGTGAGTGTGAGTGGTGACTGTGAGTGTGTGAGGTGAGTGTGAGGTGGACACAACAGGGAAGGCTCTGTTGTTGTTGTCTGTGAGTCTAGCCAGAGCTCGGCCCAGACACCGTGACGTCATCCCCATCTCAAGGTTGCCTCACACTCTTGTAATGTTCTTCTCTCTCTCTCTCTCTCTCTCTCTCTCTCTCTCTCTCTCTCTCTCTCTCTCTCTCTCTCTCTCTCTCTCTCTCTCTCTCTCTCTCTCTCTCTCTCTCTCTCCTTCACACTTTGTTTTCTGTGCTTATTGTCTATTGTCAGTTAATTTACAGAAGGTCAACATTTTATTCCTGTTGTCGAGGACTGGATTAACTATTGACCTTCCCCAGGATACAAACCTTCACCAATTACCTAACTCCTGGGTACCTACTTAGCTGCAAGGTGAACAGAGGCACCGGGTGAAAGGAAACGTGCCAAGCGATTTCTGCCTTGCCCGAGGATCGAACCCAGGTCCATGGATTGTTAGCCAAGGGCGTAGACCACTGGGATACAGACAAATCAGTCTGTTTGTGTGTGTTAACAACATAATCCCCCACTTTGTGTGTGGATTGACTTGTTTGGGTGTGGATTGAATAGCTTGTTTGTTTTAGTTTAGTTAGCTGTAAGTAAAATGTGAGATTTCTCAACAATCAGACCTCTCACAACCTACCAGGGGTCACAACACCCGACCTTTCATAACCAACCAGGATTATGGTAGGTTATGAAAGGTCAGAGCCTACTATAATACCTACCAATACCTGACCTCTCAGGTATTGAGAGGTCAGGTATTACCTCCCTGAAGGGTCACAATTTACGGCTCCCACGGAAATTATACAAAATACTATTTGTCAAGTATAGATACTGTTCTTAAAAGATTCCTCCCCCCCCCCCCCCCACCCCCACTTTGCACCCGCAAGATAACGTAAGTTTAGGGGTTGGTATATGTTAATCTTCTTGTCTGATACACTGTTCACTTGAGACAGTTAAGCAAGTCCCAGCTGCGTCTGGGTACAAGTGACAGGATGAACAACCCAGCGGGTTTTCTTCCTGTTGGGGAGTGTTGTACATGCTGCTATGGCGGTGTGTCCACTCACAGGATGAGTGGCGCTGCCCAATACTGTCACTATGGCGGTGTGTCCACTCACAGGATGAGTGGCGCTGCCCAATACTGTCACTATGGCGGTGTGTTCACTCACAGGATGAGTGGCGCTGCCCAATACTGTCACTATGGAGGTGTGTCCACTCACAGGATGAGTGGCGCTGCCCAATACTGTCACTATGGCGGTGTGTCCACTCACAGGATGAGTGGCGCTGCCCAATACTGTCACTATGGCGGTGTGTCCACTCACAGGATGAGTGGCGCTGCCCAATACTGTCACTATGGCGGTGTGTCCACTCACAGGATGAGTGACGCTGCCCAATACTGTCACTATGGAGGTGTGTCCACTCACAGGATGAGTGGCGCTGCCCAATACTGTCACTATGGCGGTGTGTCCACTCACAGGATGAGTGGCGCTGCCCAATACTGTCACTATGGCGGTGTGTTCACTCACAGGATGAGTGGCGCTGCCCAATACTGTCACTATGGAGGTGTGTCCACTCACAGGATGAGTGGCGCTGCCCAATACTGTCACTATGGCGGTGTGTCCACTCACAGGATGAGTGGCGCTGCCCAATACTGTCACTATGGCGGTGTGTCCACTCACAGGATGAGTGGCGCTGCCCAATACTGTCACTATGGCGGTGTGTCCACTCACAGGATGAGTGACGCTGCCCAATACTGTCACTATGGAGGTGTGTCCACTCACAGGATGAGTGGCGCTGCCCAATACTGTCACTATGGCGGTGTGTCCACTCGCAGGATGAGTGGCGCTGCCCAATACTGTCACTATGGCGGTGTGTTCACTCACAGGATGAGTGGCGCTGCCCAATACTGTCACTATGGCGGTGTGTCCACTCACAGGATGAGTGGCGCTGCCCAATACTGTCACTATGGCGGTGTGTCCACTCACAGGATGAGTGGCGCTGCCCAATACTGTCACTATGGCGGTGTGTCCACTCACAGGATGAGTGGCGCTGCCCAATACTGTCACTATGGCGGTGTGTCCACTCACAGGATGAGTGGCGCTGCCCAATACTGTCACTATGGCGGTGTGTCCACTCACAGGATGAGTGACGCTGCCCAATACTGTCACTATGGCGGTGTGTCCACTCACAGGATGAGTGGCGCTGCCCAATACTGTCACTATGGCGGTGTGTCCACTCACAGGATGAGTGGCGCTGCCCAATACTGTCACTATGGCGGTGTGTCCACTCACAGGATGAGTGGCGCTGCCCAATACTGTCACTATGGCGGTGTGTCCACTCACAGGATGAGTGGCGCTGCCCAATACTGTCACTATGGCGGTGTGTCCACTCACAGGATGAGTGGCGCTGCCCAATACTGTCACTATGGCGGTGTGTCCACTCACAGGATGAGAGGCGCTGCCCAATACTGTCACTATGGCGGTGTGTCCACTCACAGGATGAGTGGCGCTGGCCAATACTGTCACTATGGCGGTGTGTCCACTCACAGGATGAGTGGCGCTGGCCAATACTGTCACTATGGCGGTGTGTCCACTCACAGGATGAGTGGCGCTGCCCAATAAATTCAGGACAAAATTGAAAAGCAACACCACACCACCAGACAACACCACACCACCAGACAACACCACACCACCACACCACCTGCAACACCACACCACCAGACCAACACCACACCACCAGACAACACCACACCACCAGACAACACCACACCACCAGACAACACCACACCACCACACCACCTGCAACACCACACCACCAGACCAACACCACACCACCAGATCAACACCACACCACCTGCAACACCACACCAACACCACACCACCAGACAACACCACACCACCAGACCAACACCACACCACCAGATCAACACCACACCACCTGCAACACCACACCAACACCACACCACCAGACAACACCACACCACCAGACAACACCACACCACCACACCACCTGCAACACCACACCACCTGCAACACCACACCACCAGACCAACACCACACCACCAGACCAACACCACACCACCAGACCAACACCACACCACCAGACCAACACCACACCACCAGACCAACACCACACCACCAGACCAACACCAGACCACCACCACACCACCAGACCAACACCACACCACCAGACCAACACCACACCACCAGACCAACACCACACCACCAGACCAACACCACACCACCAGACCAACACCACACCACCAGACCAACACCACACCACCAGACCAACACCACACCACCAGACCAACACCACACCACCAGACCAACACCAGACCAACACCAGGGACACAAACAAGAGGCACCAACAAGGTTGCATGAGGCAGCAGGAGACAAATTAACGGACCAAGGAAGTGCTATCATGTTCCTGACGCCCCAAATTAGACCAAGTGAGGGAGAGAGAGAGAGAGAGAGAGAGAGAGAGATAGAGAGATAGATAGCTCCCCTGGTTTACACATTACTAATACCACTTCACTAGTCATTGGCAATCGGTAGGGACGTGATGTTAGTACTATGGACGCCAGTGGGTCAGCCCAGGTAATGCAGGTTCGAATCCTGGTCAGGTCATAGCGTTCTTAGTGACATATACTTATAACTTAGGGCAGGTATCGAGGCCCCTCCCAGGGTGACCTTCCCCAGGATGCAACCCACAACAGTTGCCTTGCTCCCTATCTATCAGGCTATCAGTTTACTGCTGGGTGAACAGAGGCATTTGATGAAAGGAGACAAGTTGAACCCCTTTCTGTATCACTCGGGATGCGAACCTGGGATTCTGGACTGTGAGTCAAGAACGAAGCAAATTTTACTAAGGGCCCCTTTCTCCCCCCACTTATTTGGTAAAGTACCACCCTCCCCCCCCCCCTTGTACCTGCTTACCAGTACGTCTTTTTGTTTGGCGTGACTCACTATTTTTGATGGCCTCATAGATTTTATTCACAAGGTCATCATAAAACTGTTGTACATTCTCAGGCTCATAATTGTTATACCAATGTTCTATGCTGTCTATAAAGAATTTTTCTTGCTCTTTCCTTACTGTTAGCCTGCGTCTACTCAGCTTAGTGCCAGGTAGGTCAACATTAGCCACGTGTATGTTAGCTGTTATGGCTAAATGGTCAGACATTAAGTCATCCATAATATCAGTCTCATGAGTTGTGTATGACAGGTTAAAGCCAATACACCTATCTAGGACTCCTCCATATATTTGCGTTGGTTGATTCTTACTAATAATTTGAACATCATCATATGCATCGAGAAGTGCCAATAATCTTCTATTGGTGTTTGTGAGTTGATCCCCTAATTGTTTGTATTAGCATTTAAATCCCCAATTAAGATTGTAGGGTCCTGGTTACCTGGTTGATGGGGTTCTGGGAGTTCTTCTACTCCCCAAACCCGGCCCGAGGCCAGGCTTGACTTGTGAAAGTCAATATGTGCAAAATTAGGTTGGTCGGTATACTGGAGGAGGGGACGTTTCGGTCCGTCCTGGACCATTCTCAAGTCGATTGAGAATGGTCCAGGACGGACCGAAACGTCGTCGTCCCTTCACCTTCTAATGTGTGGATTGGTCAACTTGGATACTGTGCGCACTGGGTAATGTACTTGAGTTACAATAAATCCCAGTAGGATTACCGTTAGCAACGCAGATTTAACGATACATCACAGTCATTTGTTTCCGCGTGGTGGCGCCCCTAGCACACGTCTCTTTGTATCCTGTATAATATTTGTTGTGTTTTTCTACCTGTTTGCGGAACCAGACGACCCCCGAGCTGGGTGTGGCCCAGCCACGAGGCTGGGAGGAGGAAGGCTGCCTTCACCAGACCCTGGGTGGACGCTACACCAAACAGCGCTTTCCCGCCCCGCCCGCCACACCCACCCCGCGCCCTCCACACCCTGACGACTCCATTCAACCACAACAACTTCATCACAGATGGTAAGGACACCTGCTTGACTCCTGGGCCTCACGGGGGCCTCACGGGGCCTCACGGGGCCTCGCGGGGGCCCTCATGGCTCGCTGAGTGACCTGATGGCAGTAAATTCCCTCTCTCTTTAAAACAGAATGTGTTATCTGTTTGTCTGTCCGTCGCTGGGGGCCATATGTTTCGACCTCTTCTCACCCAACTCTTTTTCGGATTACAAATTGCTGGTGTGTGTCATAGGCAGGTCGGGGTGGGCCCCATTGCCCCAATTTAATAGGATTTGGTCCTATTGTGACTTGCAGCATCTCCAATGAAACCTAAAATGAGGGTTTGGTTCAATATTGAGTTTTTCAGCGGTTTTCAGCTGTTCAACACGCATGCACAACGCTGTTGCAACTTCGGAGGAACGGAAGTAGGAAGAGGCATAAAAGGAGAAGGAGCAAATCAGAGAGAGAGAGAAGGGGGGGGGGGGGGAAGAGTGAAGGAGAGGGGTAGGGAAGTAGCACAGGAGATGGAAAGAGACAGAAACAGACAGGCAGGCAGGCCCGGGCCCCCCACTGGTACCCCACATCGTGTATAGCCTTTACACATCTTCCCAAGATGGAAGTATTTATGGCAAGTATTTGGTCCAGCGTACACACACATGGACCCAAAATAGTTCACATTTTCTACTATTAGATTACCCCCAAATGGCGCAGTAAGGAACCCCAGCCTATTCTCTCTTTGGCATAATTAAAGCATTCCAAGGCCTATTATACACTATCTTAAGCCTAGTTTTAATAGGAGCAGGCAAGATTAAATTTGGTTTTTGCCCTTTCCTGCAATCTTCGCAATTGCATAAAGCTAGTTTTTAAATAAATTGCATAAATCACAGTGTTTTTTTTTTAGGGGGGCAGGGCGGGGGTGGAGGTGGGAGGGGGTTCTAACAGTACATTTGTGAACGTTCGACCAAACAGTTGGTGCAAGTACTGTCGTTTAGGTGACTATAGGTTAGTGTGCGCGCCTCGCCGCCAGTCACGTGACTTGTGTAAACAACGCTCCCAGCTGGCCGCTCACGGTAACAATATATCATGCAATTTTTTTTTCATGGTTACATTAGAAATGCAAATGATGTATTACATAGTTTTGTCCTTGCTTACATTGTTGTTGTTTTGGTCTGTATATTATACCTCCATTATTCTTAATTCTCTCGCTTCTCTCTTTATTGTTGTCATCTGCTTCTTTCTCACCGACTTGTTCTCCTGCTAACCTCCTGCTAACCTCCTCCCAACCTCTCTTCCTCCTCTCCTCCTCCTCATTCCACCTGTTCCTCGCACACTTCTCATTTTCCTGCTCATAATCTCCCCTCATGCCACTACAATTTGTCCTCTTGGTGTTGTGTGTGCCAGGAGAAGACTACGAGGACGAGGACGCCACACACATGTTCTGGCTGCCACAGTCTGGTCGGCCCTACACGTCTCCACAACACTCCGCCTCCCTGCAGGGCCTCCAGCACCTCCTGGAGGATGAGGTGAGCTCTACAGCCAGGGGGGGAATGTTGAGTGATATTATCTATGATGATATTCATTGGTGTGGGTGTGGTGGGGGGTTGTGGTGGAGTGTGGGGTGTGGGGGGGTGTGTGTGTGGGGGGGGGGGGTGTGGTGGTGTGTGGGGGGGTTGTGGTGGTGTGTGGGGGGGTGGTGTGTGGGGGGGGGGTGGTGTGTGGGGTGGTGTGGGGTGTGGAGTGGTGTGGGGTGTGGGGGGGGGGTGGGTGTGGGGGGGTGGGGTGGTGGGTGTACTCACCTAGTTGTACTCACCTAGTTGTGTTTGCGGGGGTTGAGCTCTGGCTCTTTGGTCCCGCCTCTCAACCGTCAATCAACAGGTGTATAGATTCCTGAGCCTATCGGGCTCTGTCATATCTACACTTGAAACTGTGTATGGAGTCAGCCTCCAGGTGTGTGGTGGGTGTGGTGAGTGTAGTTGAATATGATGTCATGAGTATGGTGGTCCAGGAGAATATGTGTTCAATATTTCTTGAAGTGCAATAATTAATGTTAAAATCATCATTTTCTGTTGATTACTTAGAAAACCTTTACTATGATCTAGCAACATTTTAATTTGCCAAAACAACGGCCTGTTTTCAACGCACACTTAATTCCTGCTGTTCCATAAATCGCATCTTTGTCTTCTGCAGGTCAGACCAGGACACCCTCCCGTCAAGGCCAATCGACTGCGTCTTGAGGCTGACCAAACCCTCGAAGACAACCTAGCCAGCCCCCAAGGACAGCTCCCACAGCCCTTGGGGCGAGGACTGAACTCTTTCAGAAATAACCTAAACACCCAGACTCCTGGCCGCGATACCTACAGTGGCCAGTTGCCAGTTATTAACTACAACTTTCAACGGGAATCGAATCTCAGAAATGACTTACTTCGCAACAGCCATTCACTGCCAGCTACGTGGCAACGTTTTACTGGCTCTCAGCAGTCACCTGATTTCCTGGTGAGCAACACTGCTCAATTTCCTCAAGATTTTGATCGTCCAAACAAGTTTTCCAAAGAGTTGCCACCGTCAGACCAGTATTTACAAACGTTTCCGGAAGAAGAACCTCTCCAAACCAATTTCTTCGACGAAGACCATTTGCCGAGAAGTTTCGGGGGTCCTGATGTCACAAGCGAACTGGACGACGAGGACTTCCAGGATCAAATGACAATCCCTGAGCACTTCATGGAGCCCCACACGCTACAGGAGCTCAGCCACCAACAGCCTTTCCTCGACCAAGAACCCGTAGGAGGCGCACATAGCTTCCCTGTCCAGCAATCTTCAGATCTTTCCCTCCCGGACGGGCATAGTTGGATCCCGTCATCGCTATCTGGACTAAATTTACCATCGTCTAAGGACGTCATCTCCGTTTTCACTAATCCTGAACTGACCAAGGAAGGCCAACGAGGTAGTAGGATAATCAGAGCTACAGTGTCACTCTCAGGTGTTGTATCCGTCTTATGTTGTAGGCCGGAGTTGTGAGGGGGACTTGTGGGACTGGTCGCAGTGTAGTGATGGTGGTGGGTGGTAAGATGTGTGGTTTGACCTACCTCATACCCTATTGGTACCGTCCGCATGTTACTTGGTAGCAATAGCCTGCCTGATGATGGTAGCAATAGCCCAAATGGTTGTTGCTGCAAAAACCAGTTGGTGTTGTCCAAATGACGCTTGTAACAAGAGTTGAACTAACATTTGAAGCAATACTCCAACTGGTGTTTGTAAACAATTCCCATGAAGGTGCTCGCAACAATAGTGTATTTGGTGAATGTATCATTAATCCAGCTAGTACACATATCCATAGTCCAGTTAGTACATGTATCTAGCTGGTGTATGTATCACTGGTCCAACTAGTGCATGTACCAATAGTCCAACTGGTGCATGTATCAATAGTCCAACTGGTGCATGTATCAATAGTCCAACTAGTGCATGTATCAATAGTCCAACTAGTGCATGTATCTATAGTCCAACTAGTGCATGTATCAATAGTCCAACTAGTGCATGTATCAATAGTCCAACTAGTGCATGTATCAATAGTCCAACTAGTGCATGTATCTATAGTCCAACTAGTGCATGTATCAATAGTCCAACTAGTGCATGTATCAATAGTCCAACTGGTGCATGTATCAATAGTCCAACTAGTGCATGTATCTATAGTCCAACTAGTGCATGTATCAATAGTCCAACTAGTGCATGTATCAATAGTCCAACTAGTGCATGTATCAATAGTCCAACTAGTGCATGTATCAATAGTCCAACTAGTGCATGTATCAATAGTCCAACTAGTGCATGTATCAATAGTCCAACTAGTGCATGTATCAATAGTTCAACTAGTGCATGTATCAATAGTTCAACTAGTGCATGTATCAATAGTCCAACTAGTGCATGTATCAATAGTCCAACTAGTGCATGTATCAATAGTCCAACTAGTGCATGTATCAATAGTCCAACTAGTGCATGTATCAATAGTCCAACTAGTGCATGTATCAATAGTCCAACTAGTGCATGTATCAATAATCCAACTGGTGCATGTATCAATAGTCCAACTAGTGCATGTAGCAGTTGCCTGCTTCTCTGCATTAATCCAAATGGTGCTCGTAGCAATATTAAAAATATTCCCCATTTATTTAGATAAATATTATTCAGCAACGAGGGATGGATTCACTTCTCAATGAAAGATTAGTTTGCTTATCCTCCACCAGCCATCCACCGAGGCTTCACAAGCCGCGCGGATGGTGCGGGGCCCTGCTTTAAAAATCTATTTTGCGTAAAGTTTAAAACGTTGATATTTATTTTAACATAAACACAGCTATCGAAGCCCTGAACTATGCAGACGGCGATTAGAGCGAGAGGAGAAATTACGAGGCTGTAAACCGTCAGATTGGAGACGTCTGATTAACTCGGACTAAATACGGCGGGTTGTCCGGACGATGGACAGTATCGCTCCCCTTGCGTTAAATTATGCTTATTATGCAAGCCTTCCAAATTATCTATTATCTGTGGCCTTTAAGAGAGCACGGTTCTCGTAAAAAAGATCACACGCGTATAAGTGGCGTACTCAAAATAGACTTTAAGTCGTATTTGCATCTGTGAACGGGAGATAAATTAAGATGGAGGAGACGGAATATGGAAACAATATTAGCCTTGCGATCCTCTCTCTCTCGGTTTATATCAAGATTGGAGGTGCTGTCAACAAGGAAACTGGGAACTAAATCCCTTCCGGCAACGTGACCCGCCACAGAGCATAGTCCCGTCGCGTTTGTTTTCCCTTTTGTGAATGAAATGTTACAGAGTTCGAAGAGCCTGAAGCAGGCATTGACTAGCAATTAAAAGATATGTAATTAATTTATTAAGGTTTGGAGCGTGTGTGTGTGTGTGAGAGACATTTACAGGTACTAACCTGGCACTTGTCACCATTACTAACCAGCGCACCTGTGCGCGTGTGTCCGCAGAAGCGTGCCACGCCCGCAACCTGCACACCTGCGGCAGCAGAGTCATCCGCGAGTTCAACCACGAACGCGCTCACGCCGAGACCTGCACCATCAGGGAGGTAAGTGTCTCTCCCTACACCTCTCCCTACACCTCTCCCTACACCTCTCCCTACACCTCTCCCTATACCTCTCCCTACACCTCTCCCTACACCTCTCCCTACACCTCTCCCTACACCTCTCCCTACACCTCTCCCTACACCTCTCCCTACACCTCTCCCTACACCTCTCCCTACACCTCTCACTACACCTCTCTCTATACCTCTCCCTACACCTCTCCCTACACCTCTCCCTACACCTCTCACTACACCTCTCACTACACCTCTCCCTACACCTCTCCCTACACCTCTCCCTACACCTCTCCCTACACCTCTCCCTACACCTCTCACTACACCTCTCACTACACCTCTCCCTACACCTCTCCCTACACCTCTCCCTACACCTCTCACTACACCTCTCTCTATACCTCTCCCGACACCTCTCCCTACACCTCTCCCTACACCTCTCCCTACACCTCTCTCTATACCTCTCCCGACACCTCTCTCTATACCTCTCCCTACACCTCTCCCGACACCTCTCCCGACACCTCTCCCGACACCTCTCCCTACACCTCTCCCTACACCTCTCCCTACACCTCTCCCTACACCTCTCCCTACACCTCTCCCTACACCTCTCCCTACACCGCTCCCTACACCGCTCCCTACACCTCTCCCTACACCTCTCCCTACACCTCTCCCTACACCTCTCCCTACACCTCTCCCTACACCTCTCCCTACACCTCTCCCTACACCTCTCCCTACACCTCTCCCTACACCTCTCCCTACACCTCTCCCTACACCTCTCCCTACACCTCTCCCTACACCTCTCCCTACACCGCTCCCTACACCTCTCCCTACACCTCTCCCTACACCTCTCCCTACACCTCTCCCTACACCTCTCCCTACACCTCTCCCTACACCTCTCCCTACACCTCTCCCTACACCTCTCCCTATACCTCTCCCTACACCTCTCCCTACACCTCTCCCTACACCTTGCCGCTCTACTACCATGTTTCCAAACCTGTAACGAACCCCTCCTCCTCCCCCCTCCCAGCCTTTTGCGAACCTTATTCTAATAGTGTAAATCAGGTCATCTGAAAATACTTCCAGAGTCCTTTGTACACACACTCAAAAAATATCCTACAGTGTGGTGCAACAAATGTCCCCCACAACCTCCACCTCCTACAGAGTGATGCAGCAAGTTTACGTCTCATAGTCTACCCCCCCCCCTACAGAGTGATGCAACGTGACCCCATAACTCTCCCTACAGGGTGGGTAACAGGTAACCCATTCCCCCCCCCCCTCCCTTTCCCTACAGAGTGGTGCAACGAGTGTCCTATAGCTTCGCCCCCCCCCCTCCCCCCCCCATGGATGCCTTACAGTGTGGTGCAACAAATAGCTTTTAATCTCCACTTATTATCGCGTGAATTCTTTAAAGATCTCATAGAAGTGTGACCTTCGAGGGTCTCACAGAAGTGTGACCGGTCCAATAATCATGGCTTTTTTCCACGTGTAATCCCATGCCAAGTGCCTTCACTTCAGCCCTCCTCTTAACCGTATAACCCATGACGTGACCTCCGTCTTCCCCTCCTGCAGGAGTTCTTGGACTGCATGGAGCATCGGAGGGACGAGCCGTGCCGCCCGAGTGGCGTTACCTTCAGTAGGAGCGAGACCAAGCTGATTAGAGACAAGATCAAGTTACTGCTGTGGTCAGCGCGGGGCTGTATTCTCGGACTCTCAGCTTAGCCTTCTGTCTCCCTCTATAATATCCTGTCTCTCCGTCTGGCTTTCTGTCGCCCCCCGTAATGTTCTGTCTCTCCCTCTGGCCCTCTGTCTACCTACAATATCTGTATAGCCACTCCGTGTTCTCTTGTCTCCCAACACCGTCCTTGTGCCCTTCCGCCTGCTTGAAGACATGATGTTTGGTCATCACCCCCGGAAGTCGTTCATGTTTATCTAATGTAAAGGTGATGATAACTAAGGGTCCTGACGCTCCCGGAGTGTGTGTAGCTTGAGCTCCGTAACCTATCACCCCATCAATTAATACCGGAATCAGCAATGTAGGCTTCCAATTGGGCGTGTTAACTACCTTACCCTTGTCTCCTGAATATTGCAATCGTTGTGTGAAGGTCGCCGTGGCTCAGATGCGCTCGGCTCTTCTGTTAGAACTACTCAGAGGCCATAAGAAGTCCCGCGGATAAACTGCCACCGTTAAAATTACCTGAAAGGCATTCTTGGGGCAGGACAAATGTCAAGAGTGATTAGTACAGGGAATGAACATGTTGAAAGACCACCTGCGGTCGGGACAAACACTTCCCACAGTGTCATAGACGGAGAGGTTCAACATCTTTCACACCTTGAGGTTATCTTGAGGTTATCTTGAGATGATTTCGGGGCTTTAGTGTCCCTGCGGCCCGGTCCTCGACCAGGCCTCCACCTCCAGGAAGCAGCCTGTGACAGCTGATTAATACCCAGGTACCTATTTTACTGCTAGGTAGCAGGGGCATAGGGTGAAAGAAACTCTGCCCATTGTTTCTCGCCGGCGCGCGGGATCGAACCAAGGACCACAGGATCACAAGACCAGCGTGCTGTCCGCTCGGCCGACCGGATCCCAAATAAAATAAACTGGCTACAAAAAGAAATGGTGTAGCATTGACAAGATAAATCCTCCAACATTATGGGTACTCGTGTTATCTGTGTATCAAAAAAAATCTTAAATTGTTTGTTTTCGTCGGAATTGTACTTCAACGGTAAACAATCCAATGCTTTCCTGGGATAGGCTGAGCATCAGGTCACCTGAGGAGCAAGCCTCTAAAACTCTACACGTCCGGGTCAGGAGTCATCACCAATATACACGAACGAAACCTGTACATCTTTCAACAATTATGGCGGCTTTGTTTACATTTAGTAAACAGCTTTATGAGCTCCGAAGCGCTATACGAGGTTGTTTATAACAATAATAACCTCGGGTTGTGACGTTTCCAAGCTTGTGAACTCTTTGTATACATGTAAACAAAGCCACCATGATTGAGGGAAGATGTACAGGTTTCGTTCGTGGATGCAGAAATGAATCAAAGATCCAGGTTTAGTGAATATGCATGACGTCTCTCCTATTGGCCACTACTCTAATGAACGTTGTCTAGCCTCAGCTCGTACCACCAGGCTGTGCGTACACGCACCTGGCATGACCCTCTACACTCAATAGATACACTCGTCTGATACAACTGTTGTTGTGCTCAGTGTTCTATATTCAATAGACAACTCTACTACATTCAGCAGGCAAGAGTACAAGGACGTGTGCTTAGTGTAGAGTATACCGAGTGTAGAGTATACCGAGTGTAGAGTATACCGGGTGTAGAGTATACCGGGTGTAGAGTATACCGGGTGTAGAGTATACCGGGTGTAGAGTATACCGGGTGTAGAGTATACCGGGTGTAGAGTATACCGGGTGTAGAGTATACCGGGTGTAGAGTATACCGGGTGTAGAGTATACCGGGTGTAGAGTATACCGGGTGTAGAGTACACCGGGTGTAGAGTACACCGGGTGTAGAGTACACCGGGTGTAGAGTACACCGGGTGTAGAGTACACCGGGTGTAGAGTACACCGGGTGTAGAGTACACCGGGTGTAGAGTACACCGGGTGTAGAGTACACCGGGTGTAGAGTACACCGGGTGTAGAGTACACCGGGTGTAGAGTACACCGGGTGCAGAGTATAACGAGTAGACCCCTATACTCGCTGTCGAGTGCAGCTACTCGACCTGTAACTTAGCATTTGTAATATTTGTTCTTTAAGTGTTTGGGTGGCGTGCCTTTCATATAGGAAACACGATCAATCATATATTCTTCTACGTGAGACATGATCTTGGACCCAAAGATACCCTCCACCAGGAGACGTAATCCCGATAAACCTCTTTATACAGAGCGTCACGGCCATCGAGGTCCGCAGTAACGGAGGTCATAAGAAAATGTCTAAATAAATGTAACATGATTTTGCATTAATAAATATTTTATCCAAAAAGACGTTTCATTTGTCACATGTTGTCACGAAGTTAATTTTCACAATACTGACCTCGTGAAGATAAGAATATGCTAGAGTTGTTCTCTATTGAATTGGGTATGACGGTATACAATTATCATACACACTCGGGTATATTATGTATGCGTGACTGTCCAAACTCACACAGAGAGAGTAAAGTAGTGTCTATTGAGTAAAAAGTATTCTGAGTGCAGAGAATATAGTGTGTAGTGTATTCTAATTGGCGAGTATACTCTTTGTAGAGGTAGTGATGGTGTAAGTGGCTCTGGGGGCGTAGTGATGGTGAAAGTGGCTCTGGGGGTAGTGATGGTGAGAGTGGCTCTGGGGGGTAGTGATGGTGAGAGTGGCTCTGGGGGGTAGTGATGGTGAGAGTGGCTCTGGGGGGTAGTGATGGTGAGAGTGGCTCTGGGGGGTAGTGATGGTGAGAGTGGCTCTGGGGGGTAGTGATAGTGAAAGTGGCTCTGGGGGGTAGTGATGGTGAAAGTGGCTCTGGGGGGTAGTGATGGTGAGAGTGGCTCTGGGGGTAGTAATGGTGAAAGTGGCTCTGGACATCTACAACACCTGCGTTAAGGCTGTGTTGTGATGTACTGATGTGTAACGAAGAAATATGCTGATATAATTTGAGATATTCTGCAAAGGGATATACCGAGATATGAAGATGTAATACACAGATGTCAGCTGATATACTGGTACACAGATGTCAGATGATATACTGGTACACAGATGTCAGATGATATACTGGTACACAGATGTCAGATGATATACTGGTACACAGATGTCAGATGATATACTGGTACACAGATGTCAGCTGATATACTGATACACAGATGTCATCTGATATACTGATACACAGATGTCAGCTGATATACTGATACACAGATGTCAGATGATATACTGGTACACAGATGTCAGCTGATATACTGATACACAGATGTCAGATGATATACTGGTACACAGATGTCAGCTGATATACTGATACACAGATGTCAGCTGTTATACTGGTACACAGATGTCAGCTGATATACTGATACACAGATGTCAGCTGATATACTGATACACAGATGTCAGCTGATATACTGGTACACAGATGTCAGCTGATATACTGATACACAGATGTCAGCCGATATATTGGTACACAGATGTCGGCTGACGTGTTGGCATATTGAACTCAGACAAGAGAAACGCCTCGCTTTGGGATGCTGGGATGTGTCAAGATGAGATATGCTGTTGTTGACTAAGATGTGATGACGCAAAAATTAGTTTATATTTGGATATGATTAGTTGACGGGATGATAATAGGCTGTGTAAATGCTGCTCAAACAACTAACAGAGCACAATTAGCTTCAGGTAGTTATTTTGTCCTGTTCACCATTCATCAAGAAGCTGTGACCCCGTTCGCTTCACTAGGTACGAAAACGCAACTTTTCGAACAAAAATAAAAAATTCATAAACATGGAACCCAATTTAAATATTCGCGCTAAATTGGTTAGTTCATATTATAATATGCGGCAGTCCATCAGACCTGGGAGAAGATAATGTGTAATGGGTTTTCGAAAGATTTATAGATTACGGCTTCTTGATCCCGTTTGAAGCATTCCTGAGCTGTGCCCTTATGATACGTTTGGAGGCGAAAACTGTTATTGGAGGGACGTAAGCACTAACATCAGCCGCAAAAGACCGGCACCAGGGCCTACTGGACTGGCAGACACTATCATTAATAAACATGAGGAATAAAACGGGACTGAGGATTGAGCCCTGCAGAACCTCGCCTTTGTAACTTGTTTTTTTTCAGTTTGTATTTTTTTGTGTTAATATGAGAGTCTAAGAATGCAGCCGTGCCGTAGGCAGGCGCCGAACTCACGTGTCCTAGGTCCCTGGATATCATGGCACTTCATCTCTCTTCGCCAATGTGCGTTCAGAGACAAAAATCTCCTCATGCAGAGTGTGTGCGCACGCTTCAAGGCAACGCCTACACTATAACCACCACCACCACAACCACCACCACACGGTTTTGGAAGTCTGGGCAAGACTAGGCTTGCGAGACACGCGAATCAGATGATGCGATAGCTTCGGAGCAGTTTATATAGAATGTAAATTCGCCGTTGTGTCTGTACAGATGAGCTCGTCCTGGGGGAAAAACAACTTGCTCCTAGACTCTCTTCCACGTGACGTCAAACGGTCAGGTGTTTTTTGTTTACATCCAGGTCTGGAGTCAGCTGACGCACCATCTTTATTTACCTGTGAGTCAGCTGACGTAGCCTCTGTATTTTCCCGACGTGTGAGTCGACTGACGTAGCCTCTGTATTTTCCCGACGTGTGAGTCGATTGACGCAGCCTCTGTATTTACTTTGACATGACAGATGTGAGTAGCGAAGTGAATCCAGGACTCCCGCTGTTGACACCTGCGACACACTCCCACAATGTGAGTGTCTACAGTGTCTCAGAAAGCTTGAGAGAGAGAACGGTATTTGTAACACGTTCGTTTATGCATTAGTCCATTCTTGCAAAGAGATACAGCTCATGAACAAATCCACAAGGGCCGTGATGAGGATTCGAACCTGCGTCCAAGAGCATCCCAGAGCATGAGCATCTTTTGACCATGTCGTAGCTCAGTCGATTAAGGCAGCGTCTGGGATGCTCTTGGACGCAGGTTCGAATCCTCGTCACGGCCCTTGTGGATTTGTTCATTTGATGCATCACGCTATTGTGATTTCTGTGTGTAGATACAGCTCATATATTTGAAAATACATTTAATAAATTCGGCAACACAAATTTATGCGATAAACCGCTGTGTATTTGTTGCTGGGAGCAGTATTCTTCAGAATGTTTGTTTTCTATTTCTAGTGTTCTCACCTAGTTGTGCTTGCGAGGGTTGAGCTTTGGTTCTTTGGTCCCGCCTCTCAACTGTAATCAAGTGGATCAATCAGTAACGTATGTATGTATGTAATGTATGTATGTATGTATGTATGTATGTATGTATGTATGTATGTATGTATGTATGTATGTATGTGTGTGTGTGTGTGTGTGTATGTAATGTATGTATGTATGTAGGTGTAGGAGGTAATCACCCAGTGCTAGCGTACCAAGAGGTAGTATGGTTAGCCCTGTTGTGTGATGTCAACAGCCACGTTACACACTTCATCCCTGAATCTCAGTCATGTTCACATATCTGCACTCCAGCCTTTATATTTGGCAAGATAGGAAATGACAGCTGCTACGAGGGTCATTAATCAACTTAGAACAATATCTCCCTTGGGTAGGCGATGGCAGGGGGCCTTTGCATAGACAGTGATAATGACATGACAGCATGCCATTGCAGCTTAGGTAGGCATAGAGATGACTGGCATCACTACTCTGATCATGATGTTGTACTCTTCAATGACCACGAAGAATGTGCTGTACCTTGCAAGCCGGAGAGTTATTTCGTTCCTTTTCAACAGTAG